CAGCCTCCAGTCAGACAGTTACTGCAAAGCCTGTTATCCCTTGCATCCTATCAGTTAACTGATGGATTAAAATACGTTGGCATAGCTTTGGTGTTCATGCAAGACAAGATGTAACATTATATTCAAGCAATACTATTACAAGTTGTTAAACATCAACAATACATTCAGACTTTTAAGCCGTGTATATGCCACTATAATTAATACAATAATTATTGATTTGATTTGTTTTAAGGCTTCTTCTGTTGTCTAGTCCAATATCAGTGCTGAAACATACTGAAATGTTTTTTCCTAGCCTAAAGCCACCAAAGGGATAGAAATATATGAACTTTAAATCACGTTTTAATCCAGGACTATAGCAAAAATTAGAGTATTTTTTCTGGGAAAAATTTCCAATAGAATGCAATCCAGACGGCCGTGGTGTGCATGAGGGATATTGACATGACTCCCATGATTCACTCCCTATGTAACTCCCGCTCCGCTTCCCAGCCGCGCGAGCTCCTTCGTGGGAGGCCAGGAGCGGTTCACTTGGTCGTCATGGACACCCCTTTCCTGTCCCACGCGCTGCTGTTGAGCAGCGAGAGCATGAATCGGGCGACGTCCGCCCGGGAGATGGAGGTTTCCAGTCTGCCCTCACTGGGGTACGGTACGAAGTATCCTTCGTGCGTCAGGAACTCCTTTGCTGGAAGGTCACAAGGGACGTGTCACAGTGAGCAAGCCACCAAAAATGTTTATAACCTGCAGGCCTTCACTACTGGGTACCTCTTGTGCACTAAGGATGACTGATATTTACTGATATAAACTACAGAGAAGACTACAAGGGCACCCAATTCAAGCAGTCAATCCTTATGGGCATTATAAAGCTACATTACAAAAAAACCTACACTAATTAAAACACTTCCAAAGCAGGCCTTTTGATTAACTCATACCGAATTTTCTAGCATCCCTCTTTCAGCATAGGCGATTCATTGGCAGACATGAAAGCTCAGCTGTCTTACCTGTAGCTGGCTCATTCGTCAAGCCCGAAGGTCTCACCACAGTCCAGTTGATATCCTCCGTCTTGGACAGAACCGTTTCCATCTCGTACATATTGTTCATCAAGCTGCGGATCATCGGCAGGATAAGAAAGCGCACCATGTAGCCTGCGTTTGTGCTAGAGTTAGCTACAACAAACAAAACAAACCCAGTGTAGAGTGAATACAGACAGCCTTTAGCTGGACAACAGCGCAAAGTGGAATAAGTCTGGGTTTCTCATAACTAGGCCGGTTTGTAGCATACTCAACAAGGTCAAAATAGTAGATACTGCTGTTACAGGGACTGAGTGACACAGATGCACTTACGCTCAGAGAACCAAGACGACATTGCAATTATTCGGTTCACTTTTGCCTGCTTCATGGCATTCACTGTAGCTTTCATAGAATCTGAAAATCCAGAAACAGAAGTGAAGACCGAGAGACGAAAGCCAAGGCAGGAAATGACAGCATCTTGCCCCTTGAAGTGAGGAGAGAGACTGTCCTCTGAGAAGATATTTCCCTCGACGACCTGAAACAAAATAGATACATTGGAAACAGGGAAAATCTTGGGAGCCCGGAGAATGCCTCCACCAGATCGGAAACAACTGGGCTCCGTTTCTTAACACTGAGGCACATTTTCATTGGTTCCAGAAGAAAATCTGTTTTGCAAAGTATAAGATGTGGTCCAATTAACAGAAATGCAATTAAAAAGACGCACGCTGTCGGCATGTCACGAGGTGTAAAGGGCTCTTTTCAGCATGGAATAAACCTATTACTTGTTCCACTAAGACACTTCTTTGTGATTTAATTTCTACTGTATTTATCCACAAATGCTCAGACTCCTCAACAGCACTGTTTTGACCTTATCTTGTTCGAATCACTCACACATGCTTTAACATTCAGATCACAATGCAGACACAACAAACCACTCTAATAGCATTAACAATTAGGAACAGTTTAAAATACAAAGGTTCATAAGTATGTAAAACATTTCATATTTAAGGATGTGTTAGGCATACCACCTGTCTTGCTAGATAATATCCTCAAGTGTACGAAATAACAAGATAGTTTCCATGATATAGCTATTTAACATACAGTATATAACATACTGTACGTTCAGACTCAAACTCCAGTACCGGCATTTTTAGTTTGAAACAATGCTTTTTACTGATTCATATAGTGTAGCAAACCTTTAATTACATTCTACTCATCCTTACAAGGAAAAGTGCACCAGTGCTTACAGGTGACACAACAGAATTCTACTGTAGATGTAAGTACTGTATAGCTACCCGCTGTCCGATTAATTAGCTAATTGACTAATTAAGCGTTAATTCTCATATGTCTTACTGGGTTACCTTCAGGTTCTGGTGTTCCACTGTGAGCTTGGTCAGATTCCTGACGATAGCAGTGACTGAATGGCCCTGCTGCAGTGCCTGTGTCACCAGCTGCTGCCCAGTTTGTCCTGTGGCGCCCAGAACAGCCAACCTCATCTTTGATGTCCAAGCTGGAGAAAGTGAATACTGATTTATTTTTCAAGCAGTCTTAAATTCGCTCTTTATCATTTTTTTTTAAAAAGCATCTACAGCCCCTTCCTATTTCATTGTTGACTTTTGAATACATTCTCAGTACATGCGTCATAATGCCATGCTGCTCTCAAGCTGAAACAAATTTCATTTAAACCAGAGACAAAAACTCTTATTCAAACTACAGACTTCATACAACGCTAACCTAGGAAAAGATTCAGAGATAGAAGAAAGGGTACATATAGAATTTAGGGCACAAAGCATCTAAATACTTACGCCCGTTGGATGTTGAAACAGGTAGTGTTGATGTGTCCACGTTTTGTCAACACAACCAATTTTAAAGCGTGATACTTATATCACTTATTTAAAACATTAGCTGTTGTTCTTGTTGGAGTTCATCTCAAAAATGAATTAAATCTTTCTCTGCATAAAGTTCTCATTACAAATGTCAGTAGTTATAGATTTAGAAGCTGGTGTTTGGTAACAAAGAAGACTTTCAGATCTCTTCTCTTCTGTCTTCATTTCAGCGATGTGGGCTTGCTGGTTAAGAGTGGTAGCTACAGATGTTTCTGACTTGACAGCATCGTAGTCATTTCAATATCGCCCTCAAATTCCGTACCAACAACATTTTTTAAACGTTTTAGGTTTTATATTTGATTAATATACCCATTCACAAGAGAAGTGTCACTACAACAGACAATAATGATGATGCTACTGAATACATGTCATATTGTAGATTCAAGCAATACAAAACAATGGAGTGGCTTGGAAAAAATGTTTTAAATTTTAAGAGCTGAATCGACATTTCAAACATAATATTTAAACCATTTTTCACATATAGCTACAAGTAAGCAACTACAAATGTGATCTTCTAATATGTCAATTGGCTTTATGTTACGTGGGTGAATAATGTTACTTCATGTACAGTACATCTCCCAGCTACTGTAGGTACAAAAGTGCCCTCCATATAAAACCGTAAACCGATTGCAAAAGCGAGGGGTACTTACTGTAAGTTCTGCGATTGAAAAGAGCACCACAGCTGCTCAGCCACCTCAAGGACACAAATATGCAGCGCGTTGAAGAGCACTTATGAAAGGATGTCTGGAAGATGCGCTGACCAGCTTAAGTTCTCCAGACACTGCCCACTTCATTTGCCTAAGACATTTGCACAATGAAAATCTATGTAACGTCTGAAAGCCCCTGGTCATGTTTTGTGTAACACGTTTATGAATAGTAGATAACTAGTAGCAAACAAATTGGGGTACACGGCGCTTCGATGAAAAATTACAAGTGTTTTGCTACACTACACAGGGAACCAAGAGGAAAATTATACTGTAACACCACAGGTTTCACATGGGCACCCTCACCTGCTGCCACATCAGATCAGCCTCCCAACCATCAGGGACTTGAACCCGGGCCTCCAGCATTTCACAACAGGGACCCAGCCTCTTGAGCCAAAGGGAGATCTCTCTTTAGCTCAAGCAGCTGGGTCCCTGTTGAGGGGTCCCTGTTGAGGTCCCTGCTGGGTCCCTCTGTCTAAGTCTTCCCTGAATTCCCTTTGTTGTTTGTCCAGTGTTTGCTATGCCACCTATGTTGGTATTACCTGCAAATGTGACTCTCTACATTCATATTTTATGAGGAACTTTTATGAGGACCTACCTTTTCGAAGACCCGGTCTTATTTCTATAAAGACCATCCTCTTGTGGGCCGCACAATGTGGCATCACTTGGGCCCTGGGTTCAGTTCCTTTCTGCATGGTGTTTGCATGTTCTCCTTGTGCTCGTGTGGGTTTCCTCAGGTGCTCCATTTTCTCCCCACAGTCCAGAGACACACTGGTAGGCAAGCTGGCTTCTGGAAAAATGTGCCCTGCTGTGAGTGGGTGCCCCGTGATGGATAGGCTCTGGGAACCCCCAAAGCCGCGTATTAGATAAAGCCGTCAGAAAAATGGATGGATGATCCTCTAGTTTAGTTCCAATATTGTTTCCAAGACCTAACAAAAGTAACAGGAATCAGACCTAGAGGGCTGTAATTACTTGATTCTTTTTTCGGCTCTCTTGTGGATTAGTGCCAGTGCCTGTATCTAGAAGTAGCTCGAAAGAGCTGGGCGAATGGCCTGTGATTGTCACCTCTTGTTTCATTGGGTACAATTGGTAGAATACCATCAGCCCCTGGAGATGTACCTGTTGCATTTCTGCCTCTTCTGTGCTCATATAATTTAATAAAGAACTTTTGCCCTTTTACAGCCTGAAGCATGCTGTTCCAATTCTTTCTTACAAGAAATATCCATCCATTTTCTAACCGCTTAATCTTAATCTCATAAACATTGCTCTTCATCCTTTGCTGTCCTTTTGCTGCTGTAATGCTGTACCTCTTATTAATTAATTTTATCATTCATTGCAGTATTGTTTTAAAACTCTCTCTTGGCTTTTCTAATGTCAAAATGGTATAATATTACAATTTTATCCCATTAATTTTTTTAACTGGGTTGTTAAATCGTTTTTATTTATTTGTGGTGATTAACACACAGGAAAAATGTAAATATTAAGTAATTTGTACAAACAAAAAGCATTGTATAATAATAAGCAACTCACAAAGTTATGTGGTTTAAAAATTAAAGTATTACAGAACTACATTATGTTAATTATAAATATAAAAGGAAACAGATATGAACATAATAATAGATACTCACAAGAGCAAGTTAATCAGTCACGGTAACTAGATATTTAATATATATTTCTGAGGTATCCGCATTAATATTTTAATTAATTCACGTTATTGGAAAACAGAATAAACATTTTTAGTGTTTCTATAGCTTATATTCTATAGCTTATATTTTGATATCCGTAAAAAATCATTGATCTCGTGTAAGCAAGGATGTTGTACTGTACCACTCTTTGTAATTTTTAAACGCATTTGTCACCGTCCGTACTGTTCGGTACTCCTCTCTTTCCGTAGCACGGGATTAAACGTAGCAATATGGCGAGTTACTTGTAAAGCACGTTGGAATAGTGAAAAAAATAAACTTTCAAAAAACGTTTTCATTACAAGTAACAACTCGGTTGTAGTCATGTCGGGTAGGCATAACAACAAGTTGCCTACAAATCTTCCACAGTTGCAGAATTTAATCAAAAGAGATCCCCAGTCTTATACAGAAGAGGTAAGATGTTTTCTTTTTTAATATATTACATCCTAAAGTTTATGCTTTCATAAACAAATTGGATTAATCTCGGTATGCATTTCAACATAAGTTCATAATAAGTTCATTTAGACCTACGTTTAAAGCTTACTTTAAAGTTGTAGCTCAAAGCTGTTTTTGCATTCAATCTTCTAGTAGTGACCAGATGTTAAGGTACATATTCACTTACAATACCATGTTTTACTGGTTTACCTATTTATCACCTGGACAACTGCTCTCTTATAGGGATTTAGACTTGACTGTTCTGGTTCAAAGACTAACGTTCTTATTTATCTTGAGGAGTAATCATCGGTCGAGAAATAGTATTGATTATGTTGGTTATGATGAGACTGATAATTGTTACCGATTACAATATCTGTATTTTCTAATACACGTTTTTTGAATACTCGTTTAGAGACCTGTTTGTCTTTATCCTCCGTGTCTTTGAAGAAAATGTATATCTTTTATAGTATCACAGGTGCATAATTTCCTGTTTAAAACCTTATATCAAAGAAGGAAAAGCAGCATAGTTTAAGTTTTCTGAAAATGTGTGCCTTTGAGGACGTTGCCTGTAGTTTCTGAATTAGCAACTACGATATGTCAGTATACTGACCAGATTTGATATCTTAAGTTATCGATTAGCGATAATCTAATAGAAAACTGTCCAGCCCTTCAATGAATGGCAGTTCATACGGAATCACTTGTTTGTTTTAAGTAAACAGTGTTTAGACACGTACGCGCATGTATTTGAAATTAGTTTCCTTTGGGGCTTTTCATTTCTTAGGAAAATTGAACCTTCTTACCTCCCTTCGGCACTGTTCCACGCCGCCACAAGTCATTTTACTCACTCATAATGAAATTTGTGCACTGGACCTTGTTATCAGTTGTAATTTGCAAACCAGTTACACATTCCTGAGTATGTCGCACCGTTTAGCCTGAAGTATGATTTGCATGAAGTACTTGCAAGAGTAAGTGGAGTAAGACTGTAGAATTTCAAGATCTGTGCGCTCAGCCTTGTTCTTTAGATCCTGTTTGATATATCCTCATGGTTGTGCTCAGCTAACTAGTATAGAGTACTCTTTGGTTTGGAATTCTCCCTTGGATGGCAGCTCTTTATTAGATCATCGTGAAGCCACAGAAAAAAAAGAGGGAACTGTCATGTACGTGTGACTTTGGTACATTTATCAACATTGCTCCATAAAAATCCTAATGGTGCAAACTCAAGTATGGATGGGGGAACATATCCCATATTGTGACAGTTATTTGTCTTTGTTTAGAGAGATAAAATAAGATCACTTTATTAGCTACAGTATAAACCATTTCTTGCATTAGGAATTCGTCTTTTCGCATACCCCAGCTTGCTCTCCATGAGACGCACTGGCACACAGACAGGGAGAGAGAAGCTGGGGGTCAGAGCGCAGGGTCAGCCATTTATACAGCGCCCCTGGAGCAGCTGGGGTTAAGGGTCTTGTTCAGGAGCCCAATGGAGTAGGATTCCTCTGCTGGCCGTGGGATTTGAACTGGCAACCTTCCAGCCACAGGCGCAGATACTTAGCTGCAGAGCCACCGCTCCACCCCAAGCATTTGTTTAATCACTACAATCAGATATACATTTCTAGAAATCCAGTGCTGCCAGGTTAGTGTTTTTCTGTGATGTATTGAAGAAGGACAAAATAATATTAGAATTATTTTCTTAAACATTCCGTGAACAGCTAGATTCAGTTAACAACACAACTTTAGAAGAGTCTATGGCTCTTCTGGGGGGTTTTATTCAGTCCAATATTGATATTATTAGAGGTCAGGTTGTGTTGTTGTTTTATACTTCTCTTGTTAACACTGAAAGTACTCCTGAATTTCGCAGATCCTATTTTGTAGCGCTTAAAGTTGAGCTTAAGCTTTTTCCCACAACCAGTTCAGAAATTTGTAATCAAAATGAAACATGTTACATGCTTGATAGTTCCTGTCCCCACTCCTTAGTCTAGTTAAAATCTTGTAGTTCTCTACCTGCCATAACTTACATGGTTAGTAATCAGTGAGACCAAAGAGCTGGTACGTTGTCTGTATTTTTCTCTCCTCACCTCTAATGTTGACAGGTTTATTTTAACGGTCAATGACAGTGAAATGATCCTGGTGTCACCTCTGATCTTCACTGTGTCCTTTGGTGTTCACAGTGCTATGAAGATGTCTTGTTTCCCAGCTGTGTAGCTGATCATAGTTTATATAAAACATATCTTCATTTTAGGATGAGCCATTGACTGCATCTGTGACCTGTTGTCTCCTTAAACGCCTCCAAGCTGTTGGAGTTCTCCAGACAAGGGATCCTGTACCCAATTCCTGTAGGGGCTGGTGTACTTTGTTTTTTTCCTTCCTCCCAGGCTGATTGACTAATTAGCTGCATAATAGCAGTACATCTAACCAGGCTGGTTTAGTCTGGTTAGATGTACTGCAAAACCAAGCTGTACACTGGCCCACGTCTTTAAACAATTCAGGGGACTGCATTCATTGTGGTTTAAACAAACAGACTTGCCTAAAAACACAGTATGACTGCTGACCTGGATTTCAGACTGAAAGCTGATGTCAGGATAGTTTTTTACATTCAGCCCGTCTCGTTCTTTGTATCTTTCAGTTCCTGCAGCAGTATCGGCACTACCAGTCCAATGTTCAGATCTTCAAGCTTAAACCCGATAAGCCAAATAAGGAGTTGGCTGAACTGGTTATGTTCTTGGCCCAGGTAATGCATTTTAGTATATCCTCCTAAAAGCTAAGAGCCTTTAGTGACTGCCTTAAAGCCCGCAGAAACTTAAGACCAGCTCCGGGGAATATGAGTACAGCAAATCGCTGTATTGAAATATTGATGACACTATAAAATATCTGCTTCCATTTCTGAAAAGTTATCTTTTTATTTAATTATTGCAGTCCCACAGTCTGTAAGATTGTATGTGTTGCTTTGCATGACTGTGTAACTGAGAAGGCACTGGATCCTTCTTCAGGAATATTCCTCACATTAGTGGAGAAGGCCTCACAACAGACTACTGTGCAGTTTGGAATTAACCTTTACTCGTTCACTTGAAGCTCACATGTTGATGGGACTCCCTAAAGCATGGTAACTAATTGCTTGTTGTCAGGGGATATGGTTTAAGAAATTTAAACCGCTCAGCCTTTGTTATGATTCCATTGTTTCCTCACAGCATAATTGAATATGCAGCAGAAATCTTTTTTTTTTATAGGAAAGGAGGAAAGGAAAGTATTTGAATGTCCAGATCTGTTAGGATGAAGTCGCCTGGAATAAATTAAATTGGGTAATGTCTAGATTCTGTGCTCTTATTTTACAGGTTGCACATTGCTATTCAGAGCAACTGGCCAATTTCCCCCAGGAATTAAAAGAACTGCTTCTGTGTCACCACACTGTCCTGGAGCATGACCTGAGAATGGTATGGAACCACAGGAGCCCTTGAGAGTGGAAAGAAATACCATCAATTGTATTTAAGTAATAATAAACTTTATTTTATATAGCACCTTTAAAGGTGGCTTCTCAAAGTGCTGTACAGAACGACAACAACAATAAAAAAGATACATAAGACATACACAATGAGAGGGGACTGTAGATGGGGGTACTGAGTACAGCAGGAGCAGAGGGGTGAAGAACAGAGTCAGTTAAGTAAAGACTCTTTTAAGGAAGAACGTTTTGAGTTTTGAGGAGTTTAGAGAAGGTGACTCTCTGATATCCCTGGGGAAAGAGTTCCAGAGCTTTGGGGCATAACAGGAGAAGACCCTGTCACTCAGAGTGTAGATGGGCTTGGTGGACAGGTAGGAGACCACAATTAGAAGAGCGAAGGTTGTGAGGTGAGGAGTAGGGCTATAGTAGCTCAGACAGGTACTGAGGTGCCAAGCCATGCAGAGCCTCATCGGTGAGCATGAGGATTTTGAAGTCGACAGGAAGCCGGTGCAAGGACTCCAGGATTGGAGTAATGGGATCGCTTGCCCTTGCAAGTAGGAGAATATCAGCTATAAGAGTTAGATTTTAGAAGAATGTCAGCTTTTTCTTTCATAGCTTCTCAACATCCTAATCAGGTCAGATGTTTTTAACTTATCATTTAAACAAATAAAAATAAAGCATAACCAATTTTAAAATTTGCAGGGAACGCAGAAGCACTTAATGGGATGTGATGGAAGTGGTAAAAACCAAATCAAGTGATTTCTGGTTTCTGAAGTTTATCGTGTCATGTTCTCTTTTGTGCCACTGATGTTTTTCAAGGCCAGTAGCTCGACATGTCGTGTGCTTGAATCGGTTTCTGTCTTCTTCCTTTTCTGCCTAGACCTTCTGCAAGGCCCTCATCCTGCTGCGAAACAAGGACCTCATCAGCCCGACAGGCCTGCTTGAGCTCTTCTTTGAGCTTCTGCGATGCCACGACAAGCTCCTTCGCAAGGTGAGCTGAAGACCCCGTTCGCCCGCCAGCGACCTGGGGAGATGCCCCCGTAACCTCTCACCCCTGTACTCCGCTTCTCCCTTGCAGACTCTGTACACCCACATTGTGTCCGACATCAAGAATATCAACGCCAAGCATAAAAACAACAAAGTGAACACGGTGAGTGCCGTTCCGGATTTTTCCATGACTCTGCAGCATAGAAAGGGACCAAGGCCGGGGTTAGCCTGCTGTAACCTTGAATTCTCTTTCCTCAGACTTTGCAAAATTTCATGTACACGATGTTGAGAGACAGCAATGCTACAGCTGCCAAGATATCTCTGGATGTAATGATAGAGCTCTACAGGAGGAATATTTGGTAAGTCAGCCCCTGGGGTGTGCTTTACCATCTCGAAATATTTTCTTTCCAGTTGAAACACTGTACTGATAATTTACATGTTTTATAGCATGATTATAGTACGTATGTTGTGCATCATATATTTTAATTGGTGTAAAATTGAATACAATAGATGACATTTGGCTGCCTTGATGTTGGCAAATGTAGCAAGTCATAAAAATAAAACCCCAAAACTTGCCATACTGAGTCGTACCTTCAGCTTTACACTGGAAATATAGTCTAAGGCAGAAAAAGGAATGAGTGCTGCCTACTGGGTGGCACTTTTACTGTGTACATTTACACTGCTGGTTAAATGTGTGTCTACGTGATTGATTAATATGATTACCAATGGACTGTGATAAAACTATGGAATGAGGAGCAGTGAGAGTTTTAAAACAATCACAGTACTGTACATGAAACAAGAAAACATTATGTATGATCAGACGCTTTTTTGGGGTAACTGACCTCTCAGAGTGGTGTTTGTTGAAATGCAGCTGTATGTATATGATTATTTATCCATTATTCTGGAGTATACCTGGAGATAACCTCCGATTTATTTTATTGCAGGAATGACACTAAAACAGTCAATGTCATTACAACAGCATGCTTTTCAAAAGTGACAAAGGTGAGAACGTCTTGATTTCTTCCTGAGGTAGATGTAAAGCCTGCGACAGTATAATTAACAATGAGCTGGTGGGCTTTCTAATGCTAAATCTTTCCACCCGCCAGTTTACTATATAGAAGGCAAAATGACAGAAAAGTAATTGTAGGACTTCACAAATACACAAGGAAATTACAGTATAGCTTGGATTACGGAGTGGGAGCTTTTTCTAAACTGTTTGATACCTTGCAGAGTTCTGAATTGTCTTAAAGGCCAAGTCTGATAAGCTAAAATGAGTTACGTTTTAGATGTACTTTGCTTTCCGTCTCCCTTTTTTCTTCACATTGTTGTAAAAATCCAGGTCAGAGTTTTGTTGTTTGTTCATATTAACATGGCAAAAAATCCACCGAGCCACATTTAATCCAATTTTTACATTTAATTCACATTTAATCCAATTTGTGAGCCAGAAAATATCAGTTGTTTGAAAATGTCGGTATTATCTCCTTAGATTCTTGTGGCAGCTTTAAAATTCTTCTTGGGCAAAGATGAAGATGAGAAGAACAGTGATTCTGAGTCAGAGGCAAGTCTGAATTTCACATTTCACAGAAGGGGAATGTGGCGTTTTAGACCAAGTGCACCTACCGCGACAAAAATCAAACTACTTTTCTTTCTTTTCAGGATGATGGACCATCTGCAAAAGACCTCATTTTGAGGTACTCAACAGGAAAAAAGAGTTCAAAAAACAAGAAGAAAATGGAGAAGGCCTTGAAAGTTCTCAAAGTAAGATTCTGATCAGTAAACACGATTACATTTTGGAACGTTGGAATGTAGGATTTTTGATCCAATTCTTCCCAAGTGTCAAGTCCTGACCCACTTTGGGAGTATCTTTTCTACTGCTTAGCCTTTAAAATCTCTTGGACTGCAGGACTGATGGATCTTCAGTATGTGTTTTTGTATATATGTGCTTTTGTATTTTGTTTTCCAAGTATTAGAATGTAATAAAAAAATAATACTGTGACTGTGATTAGAAAAATTGTGCTACTCTTAAGTTTTGCTTTTTATTTTACAGAAAAATAAGAAGAAAAAGCGTGCAGAAGTTTTCAATTTTTCTGCCATCCACCTGATTCACGATCCGCAGGGTAACATTTTAAATTAATAATCTGATCATTTAGTAGTGTTTGCAATCAGACTGATTAATCTCGTTTTGCTGCTCTGTTGAGTGGGAAGTGAGACTTCTCTCGCAGACGGATTTTTCTTTATAAACCACTTAAACCAATTCATTTCAATGCAGTGTTGAGCACAATTCTTATTTTCAGTACCAGTATTTTTTATTTAAAATAAATCATTTACATTTATTGGATTCTTTTGAAGGTACTTGCCAAATCCGCAACTAATTGAAAGGTAAACATTGAAGTTAATTTTCTGCACTGGTTGTGCCAAAGGATGCACTGTAGTTACACTCATACTAACATTTCTGTGCAATTTCCAGATTTTGCTGAGAAACTTTTAAAACAGTTAGAAGATTCCAAAGAACGGTTTGAGGTGAAGATAATGATGATGGAGCTCATTTCAAGGCTAGTCGGAATTCATGAGGTAAATTATTTCATCACTCAGACGTTGTTTTTGAGTTGAAATGTGCAGCCTGGTGTGGGCAGTGAGGACTGCAAGTACCTTGAGTCTGGAGCTCTTACTTCCAGTTTCAGTTCAAGCTTTATTATCCTCTGCGGGAAATGTATTTTACGGTGCGGCCCAATACAACAAAGATAGAAAAATTTACCAACAGAGGATTGTGCAGTAGCATTACTGTAGATGAGAGAGTTGCTTACCTTACCAAGAAGACAATTTTCTTTGGAGTAAAATTGTATTTAAATGATAGTTTCTCTAAATGCATAGATTTGATGCTTCTTGGAACAGAATTGCTGCGACCCCTTTCTGGGTGCATTGTCTATATGTGCACCTTTTTTTTGTAGTGAACGGAGAGTAACACCTGCTGAAACAGTTTCTGTTAATCAGAGAGTTCATGCTTTGGTTTATGTGATGCTTCTAGAAGTTGTCACGAATACTGAGAAATGTGTCTCTTCTGCAGCTTTTCCTTTTCAACTTCTATCCCTTTGTGCAACGTTTTCTACAACCGCACCAGAGAGGTAATACAGTCCTTTTCTGCAATCAGGTTCAAAGCATTAGAGCAGTGAATAATTAAACAGTAGCTTGAGTGCTCCTAGTGTATATCCATCCTTACATCCTGCAAACACAAGTGTAGACCAAGGCCAGTGTGCTGTTGACACAATATGGGATTACCCATGTTATCTGGAATTGAAGTTTTAGAACATCTGGATTGACTTGCACAATAAACCAGTCTTCAGAAGGACCAACTGCATGCGTAGACACACTTGTTGGCTGTTATTTGTTTACCCTTGCTTGAAAAAGAGAGAAATTATTGCATAAAGGCATTTCCATGAGTCAGTGGGGGTGGAATTCAACTTCCAGGTGCAACACTGCTATTTTACCTTTAACTAAGACGCTTCACTCGGCTTATTCCACTAAAACACCCTGCTGTATTAAAAAGTACACATGTAAGTCCATTTGGATACAAGTGATGTCTTAATAAATTCATGATAATTATAGTCCTGTGCAATTGATTCCTGTGTCCTTAAAAGCATGCACACACTTGTACTGGATGTCGGTGATTGAACATTATTCCCCTCAGCAGCGAGGTAACATTTTCCGATTAAGTTTTACAAAAACGTTTTTTAAAAAGATGTCTTTTTTCTCTTTCCCCCAAAAAACATTTCTTCACGCGCAGAGGTTACCAAGATTCTTCTGTGCGCTGCTCAAGCCTCTCATCAGCTGGTGCCTCCAGAGGTGGGTCAGCACGTCTTCTGATTCAGGATTGGACTACGGGGGTGGAAGCAGCACATCTCTGCTGTTTCTCTCCCTCACAGCTTCGTTCGCATTTCAAGAGATGCCAGCTCATTGTACACATTTTAATTAATGAAACTGGGAAGCACGGTTTTTAATAGTTATTCCAGTCCCTGGGCTATGCATTTTCCCCAGAAATAAGGTGTCAGACATAAACGATCAGCTGTCGTGTCCTGTCTTATTTACAGGAGTCTCCGTCTTGAATGGATGACACACTCACTGCTACTTCCACTTGCACAGTTTTTATTTTTTATTTTTTTAAGCTTAAATAATATTGTAACGAGGTTCAGGACGTTTGGCGGGAGACGTTTGTTTTTCTGAAGTGCACATATCCCTTGTGCCTTTTGCAGACTATCCAACCAGTGGTGATGACAATCGCAAACAACTTTGTCACAGACAGGAACTCTGGCGAAGTGATGACTGTGGGGTATGTGGAGATGCTTGCCGTTTCTTTTCTTTATCTAATCATTCCAGAGACAAGGGGAAGAAAGCTAGCAAAATGTATGTATTTATTTTATGTACCATCCTTAGGTCTCCAGATTTTTTTCCCAAGTCTTCACACAGAATTATTGGTGTTCACTCACGATTCACATGATTTTAATCCATTCTGCATAGCGAACATGTGACAGCTGGAGTGGTCGTTTTATATTTAGCTGTGCTTACACTTTCATGAATAGACTAGTATTCCTTGGAATTGAGTTTTTTTAAATTAGAAATTGTATTTAGTTCTGTGAAGTAATTGTTATTGGAATTGTTTTTGGAATGTTCTGGTCCGGTTTCAAGTTTCTCAGCTGTGTGCTGTAGATCACTTGTTTTTAAGTGATTTATTGGTGTTCCTCTGTGGTTCTTACTCAGTTCAGCTCCTAGGTTTCTGATCCTCTCTGTCAGGAACTGACAGAAGACATAGGAACAGCAGTCAATGTGGGGCTCAGGCCTGCTGACTTGCTTACAGCAGTTGTGATGTGAAGTGGCAACACAAAACACACAGTGCCATTGTGTAGCTACACTGTTTTATAACTGTTCAGGTTTTGCCTCCCACCTTTACTTCCCTTTTGACAGTTTTCTACAGATTAAACATCTGGTTTAGCTGAACATCTGCCTTTTGACAGTCTTGGTGTAGTCAAATGAGTCATTTGCATCTTATTTCAGGCATACCTAACGGGGCACAGTTCTCATTTGGCCTAGGGAACAGATTCGTTTACAGTAGCAGTTATATTCATGGTGAACTTTTGTATTTAACTTTTAAGAACCAATCAGTTTTAGGCTCTCCTGTCCTTAAAAAATATATTTTGTAGATGACTTGAAGGTTATTTTTTTTTCCATTCTAAAGTACTTTGTCAACCATTCAGTCTTTTTTTTTGTGATGACCCATTTTTCTTCAGCTTTCAAAGAAATAGGGCATGTTTTGTAACCTCCCAGCCTTTGAAAGGTTTGATCTGGTTAACTTGTTGGCCATTCTCCTCTTTGAGTTTGCATACTATTGCATTCACTGTGTGGGCTGTAGCCACCCTGGGAATGGACACATGGACAAACTTATCATTGTGCTTTGTGCTTGTGCCCTGCCCTTCACCCCTGTATGTGTTTTCAGCCTCTATGGCAAAGTACGGTGGCTCAGAATGTCCACAAAGCCATGCGCTCACGTCTTATGTTAAAAGTATTGTTGTATATAGAATATATGTCTTATTGCTTTTAACACACAGCATCAGCTTTATTTATGACTTCAGCTTCAGCATGCTTTATGTCTGGGTTACAGCATGGCTGGTATATGCAGTTGGCGCAGCAGAGTTATTAAGATTAAAGAATAATAATTGTTTACACTTGTACAGAGCTTTTCTGGACACTACACTCAAAGAGCTTTACAGGTGATGGGGACTCCCCTCCACCACCACCACCAATGTAGTACCCGCCTGCATGATGTAACAGCAGTCAGAGTGCACCAGTACACTCATCAGCTCTCAGTGGGGAGGAGAACAGAGTGATGAAGTCAATTCATAGATGGGGATTATTAGGAGGCCATGATTGGTAAAGGCCAAGGGGAAGTTTGCCCAGGACACCAGGGTAACTCCCCTACTCTTTTCGAGAAACGCCCCGGGATTTCTAATGACCATGGAGAGTCAGGTCCTCAGTTTTCCGCCTCATCATAGCCTCAGCTGTGAGATGTCGGGCTAAGACACGGTCCAGGTGCGACATGCAGTGGCTTTCCAGAGAGCATTGCGAATCGGGGGGGGAGGGTGTGTGATAGAAGTTGGCTGTGGACACACTTAGTCTTGGGGGGCTGCTGTCTCTTCTGCTCTTCCTTCCACACGAGTACTTAACCCGACGGCGCCAGTAGTCTCCTAAAATGCTCAAAAGAGTTGGTTCCAGGTTTCAAGCGAGGAATGGTTTGCAGAGACTTAGGGCACCCTCTCAGGCCCCGCTTGGCCAGCTAGGCCTGTAGACAATTCAGGAGCTGCAGTGTTGAATCCGTATCTTGAATACTGCTGTCTGCTAATACTGTTTCTACCTCTCCTGGCAGCATCAATGCCATCAAGGAGGTGGTGGGCAGGTGCCCCCTTGCTATGACAGAGGACCTCCTCCAGGACCTTGCACAGTATAAAAGCCACAAAGACAAGAGTAAGTCCTTCCTCTGTGTCTGCTGCTGCAGAGCCTGTTCACTGCACTGCTGTTTTCTCTCAGCCGAACGTGTGACGGTGCACCAAGTGATAGGAATACTGAACACACACTGGTCCGATTTTCCGCCGTCAAATGCCGTGTCATTTCACGTTTCAGTCTTAAGGGGGGAGGTGGCTGTAGATATTTAGTGGGAAGCAGGAGCACAGAGGAGCGGAGAAAGACAGGATTTTCACCTGTTGGAAGAATTTCAGTGCTGCCGCTCCCACAGAGTTAAAACCTCCGACTTGACCTGGGTGGGTTTAGACAATAGATTCGGCTCTGAGAGAGCGAGTCATGTCTCCAGCGTGTTATTGTGGTCTGTTCTGTAAGTTGAGTCTCCACCATTTTTCCTTTTCTTAGATGTCATGATGTCGGCACGGGGGCTGATTCAGCTTTTCAGGACTTTGAATCCCAACATGCTGCATAAACGGGACAGGGTGAGACCATGGATGGATTCCGGAATTACTGGAAAATTCATTATCTTCTTTTCGCCCATCACTTTTGTGTATTGGTTACCGATAAGAGTACAAGCAGTGTAAAAGCAGATTGTACGTACAGCCATTTTAATTATTTTCAGTGTTGTTCTGGGTTAAAACCACGTTTCTCTTTTTTTTTTTTAAGGCAAGTTCAGCGACTGAACAGTAGGATAACAACATGACGTGCCTTACCCTAAAAGTCCTTTACCTTAAAACCATTGCCCCTGTTGCGTAAAATCTAGTCATTTGTTTTAAATTTGCATGACATTATAATTGCCTTCTTCGTGACCCTTTAGTCGTATTTTTACTGGGAAATGAGTCATTCACAGTGGGACGTAAATAGAAAGAAACAATAAGAAACGATGCAAACGAGTGGCGCCTTTTGGCCCAAATAGCTCATTTGGTAGGTTAATTTATTTCATCCAATCAGAGACCAGCTTTCCTTTGAGCTTGGGAATGTATGTGTGGTCACTCTCTTCTGGACTCATTCTAAAGCTGCATCATCATTTTCTGTAACGTAGTGGCCAAAATTGTCCATGATAAACAAGGCCTTACTAGTGTACAGTACAATGTTATCCCTTGCTCGATTTGTGTCAGAACTCAGCTTGTACCTCTCAGTTAGAAACTAAACGTATTCCCCGATACACTCAACACAGCTCTGGTTCAATATTTTACATGCCCATTTGCAATTCAAAGACGGTCACTCATTGACTGTTAATTACATTTCTATGAAAAACACCTCTTTACCAACCCTGCTAAGTGTTTCCCTGGTAAAACTAATCTGTGTCCCGACTGCTGAATGCTGTCTTCCTTCGGTGACAGGGCAAACCGACAGAGGCTTCT